GTATGAGATAATTCTCTTTGATGTTCCTCTCGAAAAAATTTTGTTGTTGTTTTTAGGTGCATCAGCTTTGTTGTATACCGACTATAAAGTTTTAAATGATATAAATATTTGCAAGACGTTCAGACAAGTGTAAATTGTCAAGTTTAAGATAGGAAATTAATTAAATGTTAGGATTCAGGACCTTCATGTGCCTGTTTGTGCATGAAATAATACATGGAAAGACACCCGAGGTCTTCCTCCACCAGTAAAGCTGGAAAGTCGCTATATGACCATAACTGCATTAACTGCAATGTAAACAACCAAACTTCTGTAACCCGACACCCCCCCCACACACACACACACACCACCACGGAAAAAAAGCATGCTAACAGCAAAGAGCATTTGATTTAGCCAGTGCAGACCTGAAGACCAGCCACAACACACACACCCCCCCCCCCCTCCCCGCACCACCACTTCTTCCATTGCAATAGTTTTGTCTCATCACCAAATAGGAGAGGTGGGGCGGCGAGGAATGCCCAACTTGTAATTAAGTAGGGGCATTCAGCAGGGATTTCCTTATCTTACTGCTCATTAAGGGTTTGGCCTGTACACCAAAGTCAATATTTCTGTTATTTCCTTGTGTGGGGTTGGATGAGGGTTACTTTCGACTGTTGCATCACTGTTGACTGCTCAATCACCCAGTTCATGTTTGAGTGATAATATTTGAATGGCTGAACTGACTAATAAGCTGTTTGAAATCAGTCTCCTGTTTAAAATTAGGGTCATCCTTATTCACTGATGAAGTTTCTTCAACATTGCCATTACTCAAACATATATTAAGGCATCTTATATGATCCATTTTGCTGTCTTGAAAAAATAAAAATCTTAAGAAAAGCCTGGTTTAAAATTAGCATGTGTAATTGTATTCATACATGCGTATAAATATATGTCAATATTTTGCTGGCAGATGTATATTTTGCTCGTTTTCTTTCACGTCAACAGAATACATGTAATGCTTTTGTATCTATTTATGATTGAATGTTTTTTTGATGTTTTACTGTTTTAAAAATTGATTACTGGGAATATGTTGTTTTGATATCATGAACGTCAATCTGGAAGAATTACCTACTGTCGATACAATATTGGACAACAGCTTGGAGTTAATCTTCAGAAAATCAAATTAAGTTGAGTAAAGGCAGTTTTTATTCACGCAATGTTTTTTAAAAGTTAGATCACTGTCCGCATTAGTGGGAAATCAGCTTAAGGAAATGACGTTAATTGTCTTGTAATTTTGATGTTTTTTTTTAAAAAAAACCTAGCAAAATAAATATTAAAAGTGACATTCAGTATTTAGTGGACTGATCAAACCAGTTACACCTGTGTGTAAATGCTGACCTTGATAAGAGGGTGCTTGGATCAAGGTCATTAATGCTAAATATAGATTTTTATGTCAATCAGGCAATGAGATAACTCTTTCATAAATTCTACGAAACGGGCAATGAGATAACTCTTTCATAAATTCTACAAAACAGGCAATGAGATAACTCTTCAATAAATTCTACAAAACAGGCAATGAGATAACTCTTTCATAAATTCTACAAAACAGGCAATGAGATAACTCTTCAATAAATTCTACAAAACAGGCAATGAGATAACTCTTCCATAAATTCTACAAAACAGGCAATGAGATAACTCTTCCATAAATTCTACAAAACAGGCAATGAGATAACTCTTCCATAAATTCTACAAAACAGGCAATGAGATAACTCTTCAATAAATTCTACAAAACAGGCAATGAGATAACTCTTCCATAAATTCTACAAAACAGGCAATGAGATAACTCTTCCATAAATTCTACAAAACAGGCATTACTTGCAAGACAACTCTTTCTGTCAGCAAACTTAGATAGATAGATTGATAGATTTATTTCAATATACAATAGAATAACATGGCACATCATAAAACATAAAAAGAAATAGATGCAAGATGTATGAATTAATAAATAGCAATGCCTAACAATATTATAAATCGAAGATAACACACACAAAAAAAGTTAAAAACAAATTTTTATTTCCATTGAGATTATTGAAATATAGCATTGTGTGACATAGGAAGATATAGAGTATCACAAATTTAGATATATCACATATTCTTAAAAATTGAAAGACTTTTCAAAATTGAGCATGTACTTGGGTATATGAAGAAAGTTAAATTATTGATTTATTTTTTTGGGGGGGGGGGGGCATTTCTTTTTTTCAAAAAAAAATTGAAAATTAATCATATCATTTTTATCTCTGTTGAATTTCCTCAATGAATAGTACGAGTATAAGTTTTATTTTTGTACAAGGAATTTTTAATTACAATGTAATAAAATCTGTGGTTGTGAAAGGAGTGTAAAATTAATGTAATTGTCATATACTCGACAGAAGATTTTGGAATGGTAACTAAAAAAATGTCATTCAAAATTTTTGTAGCAATAATCTTTAAGTTTTCATTGTTTCTCCAAGTATTGTAATGTAATGTCACGTGATAAGAATAATGGGCAGCTTGGTCATGACTCGAACCCAGGACTCTGGAAATAACATGTCGCAGCTCAAACCACTGATCTACATAGGGTGTGACTTACATGTTTTTTTCTACTGTTGAACAAAAGTTAATTCTATACCTTGATAATAATTATCCTATCTTTGTAAATCTATATACCTGCCTTATTCCAATGCAACGGATCCATGCAAATATCGTGGATTTCTCAGCTCATGCATTTTTTTTACCAGACTACTTTGTAGTGTGTGAATAGTTTGGAAATAATTGATGTAATCGTCGTAATAGACCATTTTATGAGATTTTTCATATAAATTCTATAAGATTTGCCAGCTCGTGCGAAAAATAGTGCAAGTCATTGCAATGAAACCTAAAATGTCAATCCTAATAACGATTCAGATATTTCAAAATTGTGTCAGACTGTTTTGAGTTTGAAAACGTTGTTTTGAGTATGAATACGTAACATGGGGATGGAATACAAAAATTATGTTACCCATGAGGATTTATTATATAAAGTAGTCCCTACTATACAGTAAAGTAGTTCCGGATATAATGTATTGATCCTTAATTTTGTTTTGTGTGAGTGAAAACATCTCTTAGAGAATCAAGTTCTGTGAGAGATATATTGGGTCATCAGCCTGTAAGACAGATAATGGGTTAACTATTATCAAATTGTACTATAGTATGTTATTGTAGAGTAGATCTGAGATTGCCTGATGATTTGAAAATATGATTTTTCTTCCGCTTTTGTCCTGACTAAATTTTGTGTGAGGACTTTTTTGTGTGTGTGCAAACTCAAATTTAATACTGTCAAACATACATTATTGTTGAGTTTGAGTTACTGAATGGAGCTGTTTACATAATAATATGGTCTCAGGGGTCAAACTGCATAAATGGAATGACCATGCTGACCTTACTCCATTTACACAATCATATAACATGGGCTAGTAACTTTACAAGCCCCAAGCTGTAATCACTTACATTACTCCTTGTTCTGTATTCCTCCCCCCCCCCCCCAAAAAAAAAAAAAAACAAAAAAAACAACAACACAAAAACAAAAGACCTAGCTTCTATAATTATGAGTGAATAGTTAAGATTCTTAAGAATAAGATAAAAGAAGTAACTGAAAGCCATACAAAATTATCAGTCTTGAGTTTTTAGCTCGACTTTTCTATGAAAAGGGGAGCTATCCTACTCGCCCCGGCGTCGGCGTTAGCGTTAGCGTTGGCGTCACACCTTGGTTAAGTTTTTCGTACCACCCCACTTTATTTCAGAAGTATTACAAGTATGGCTTTGAAACTTACCATACTTGTTCACCATCATAACCTCCATCTACAGACAAGAGTACATAACTCTGTCAAGGTTTTTGACAGAATTATGGCCCTTTTTTGACTTAGAAAGTGTATTGAGCTTGGTTAAGTTTTTTGTACCACCTCACTTTATTTCAAAACCATTGGAGGTATTGCTTTGAAACTGACCATACTTGTTTACCATCACGACCTTCATCAACAGACAAGAGGACATAACTCTGTCAAGGTTTTTGACAGAATTATGCCCCTTTTTGACTTAGAAAATACATTGAATATGGGTAAAATCCACTTATTGCCTTAACCCTTTGAGATATTGCTTTGAAACTTTTAATGCTATTTCACATCATTTACCCCCATCTGTACGCAAGAGAAGGTAACTCTGTCAAGGATTTGTTTTAAAAATTAAGGCCTTTTATCGACTTAGAATCTTGGTTAAGTTTTTTGTACCACCTCACTTTATTTCAAAACCATTGGAGGTATTGCTTTGAAACTGACCATACTTGTTTACCATCACGACCTTCATCAACAGACAAGAGGACATAACTCTGTCAAGGTTTTTGACAGAATTATGCCCCTTTTTGACTTAGAAAATACATTGAATATGGGTAAAATCCACTTATTGCCTTAACCCTTTGAGATATTGCTTTGAAACTTTTAATGCTATTTCACATCATTAACCCCATCTGTACGCAAGAGAAGGTAACTCTGTCAAGGATTTGTTTTAAAAATTAAGGCCTTTTATCGACTTAGAATCTTGGTTAAGTTTTTAGTACCAGTCCACTTTTTGACTGAACTGTTTGAGATATTAATTTGAAAGTTGGAATACTTGTTTACAATCATGATTCCCAAACATGTCCAGGAGAAGGTAATTCTGTCAAAGATTTTATTTGAATTATGGCCCTTAACTGTCGATGTTTTGTATTATAGGCAAGCACTAAAAAAGTCGAGCGCGCTGTCTTACGGACAGCTCTTGTTCATAATGGAATGGAAATTGAGAAATTGCTGACTTTTTTTTTGGAGGGTCTATGATTGGTTGTTATTTAAAGATTTCTGAAAGATTTTCTTTAGTTACTTAAGTATACAGAATTACAGATGTCTTTTTATACTGAGCATATAGAATAGAGATTTCACTGTACATTTATTTATATGATTTTTATTGTCTTTTTTAAGGTGAAAGTCAGCATCCAAAGGACCATTTCAACATGGGAAAAGATGGTTCAGAAGATATGGCATCATTTGCATCTGTGGCGATGTCAGGCCAGTCTCTGACAGCTTTCTCGCCATCGAGAGAATCGTTACCGTCTTTGCCGGACCTATCGAATGTAGCCAATCTTGAGGCTCTCCTTGAGACCAATCCATCTTGTTCTGTACAGAATACAAGACATGTTCTGCCCGAGGGTACGGAGAATGAGTATAGTGGCACAAATACTGTGTCTGAATGGATTTCACAAGAACTTGGGGGCGTCAGCCAATCACAGTTGGAGACTGTATCATGTGACATACAGTCTCCCAAATCATGTGACAGGTGCTCTATAAATCAGTCATGTGATCAAGAGGACTCTAGTGGTATAGAAAGTACAACAACGACTGGGACTCAATTGTCCGGAAAACTTTTAAACCGAAATGTGCGCCAACTGAAAAGGAAATACCGCAAAAGAGCGAAGTCGCCACTTTTAAAGAAGCCAAGAAATGAGACTTCTGAGACAAATGTAGTGAGTCAAGACGATTTAAGTGGTGAGGAGTCTCAGGATTGGTCCGTCAGGTCGGTGTGTTCAGAATCAGAGCCTCTGCCGATTATTTATCAAGACAAACGTAAACTTGACAGCGAGGAAGAGTTTGAGACAACAGACTTGAAAAGAGGCAAAGTCCAAAAACGGTTAGTAAAATAATTTGTTGGTCAGAATTTTGTTTTTGTTTTGATTAATATTCTTATAATCGTCTTGAGCAGGGCTAGATGTTAAGATCACTTGTCAGGTCCAACAACTTGTCAAACTTTCATTTTTAGAACTTTCCATTGTCAAGTTTGGGGATATCAAAATGAAAACTTAAAGTTGGTCAGCCAACAGTGCCTGGTCAGACTGCATGGATGTGCAGGCTGGCCTGGCTCTATACATATAGCAAAAGGCAAAACAGTTTTTGGTTCTTTGAGGTTGTGTTAATTTGTTAAGTTTAGTAATGATAATAGTGTCTTGGGTTTCAATTTATTTTATATTTTAAGATATACTAATTGACCGTTTTAGATTAGTTCTCAATAGACTGTCTTTGACATACAACAATTACTACATTGAAAAAAACTGCCTTGAGAATAATTATAATGACCTTTTTTTGTAAAGGTTATCTTTATTCTATCGTTTTTTTTTTTGTATGATGAAATGTTTCAATTGCGTAATTTAGTTCACAAGACAATTCTGGCTTTATCAAGCGGAAATGGGTTTAATTATGTACAGGTATTTGTTTCCAATTCTGTGACGTAGATTTTAGTCAGTGATTAAGTATATATAGACACAACACAACATTTTTTTACCTTCTGTGATATGTCCTATCAGAATGACTGTTATATATATATGTACAATTTCTTTCTATTTATATGGGGGGAAAAAATGAAATGAATAGTATTTTTTTTGTTTTCAATAGTATTTTTTGTCGACTACATACCACTTGCCCATCATTGCTGTGGGTTGGAATCCCACCAGGGACTTTGGATTCATTCATGTGGGGAAGGTGTCCAGTTAGCTTACAGAACATAGATGGTTCTACTCTGGTGCATGTTTGTGCTTGAAATAACGCACTGTGGGGTATCTTAGGTGTTCCTCCACCAGTATAAAAGATAGAAAATCGCCAAATGACCTTAACTGTGTTAGTGTGACATAAAACCCAACACAATAAAAGAAAAAAGAAAAAAAAAGATGGGCTATGCTGGCATGACAGAAAATTTGGATTAATCACCGTCTTATATTTGGTTTTATTATGTAATTAGGATGCAAGCATTTCTTTATATTTCATATCATTAATGTTAACTTTGACAACTTTTAACTGGTTAACCTGTGTTATGGGCTTTTAATACTCGCTATTAAATTTTTGGGAGGATATAAGTCACTGCATTTTCTTGCGAGGTTCTTGCGAGGTTCTGATCAGTTCACTTGCCCTTTCCAACAGGTTACTTAGCTCTTTTATATTTAGTGGGTTTGAAACCTTGGATTTCAAAACGGTCATCATACTTATGTAATTATAACTTAAAAGTAAAGAGTGTCAGACTAAAGTAACTCAAACAAGATAATTTTTTTTGGACCTTGAGATATATATAGGTCGTAAAACACACAATATTTTAATCCATTAACTAATTGAGGCACTCTGCTTACCAAATTAGAAAAGCGGTCAATCACTTGAAATGCTTAATATGTCAGAGGGTACACTTTTGGTATTTGATTTGTAAATATTGAGTCAGAAATACAGATTTTAGTGTTTGAAGTAAAATTCACTGATTTGTTAAAAAATTTGAACAATATTGCATAAAATCTGAAGTACGAAATTTAGACATTAAGTTGTCTAGACATGTAACTGCATTACGTTTTATCAACCTGTCAATAAAATGCTTATTATATACAAATGTTGTGATTGCAGACATCACAGACTTAAAATCATTTACCCGTCATTGTTGCTGGGTTTGACTTTTGATTTATAATGTAAGGAAGCTATCCAGCTAGCGTACGGAAGGTCAGTGGTTCTACAAATGGAATAACCTGAAGTCTTCTTACACCAGTAAAGCAAGAAAGTTGCGATTATGATGCCATTTGTGGCAAAAAAATTATTGTATGAATTGTACCATTACTTTTGATAATGAGGGCATTATAAACACATCCAGTTCTACATGGGAGCCCAAGCATGAGCTCCTTAAATGTAACTTTGACCTCCCCTAGATTCAACGCTTGAAATGTCAATTTTGACAAATAAAGGCTATTAAAGGGAGATAAGATTTAGAATTGATATGAAATTAAAATATGCTAAACCAAGGTGCAGTCAGACTGGGCTCTATACTGGTGGCTTACCAACTTTTAATTTTCATCTTACCACCCCTTAAATTGATAATGGACACTTCTAAATCGGGAAGCCGGACAAGTCCATTTAAGAATTTCCACAGGTTAAGGAATTATGTTAAGGGGGAAAAAAATGCTGAATTACAGTTGCAGTAAAACTATATGAACTTCAATAAAAATTTTAAATCATGAACAATTTTCGGTCTCAGGCCAGTTGTGCCGACTTTTTTGTTTTTTATCCGGGCCGTAAGGTATTTATGATTTAATCGTTATATTACTAACAAAATTTTTAATGAAAGTGGTATTTAAAATCAAAATCAGTGTTTGTCCAAAATAAGAAGCCTTTTTTGTGGGTTGGAAAGTTTGATATTTTTGTATGTTTAACAATGTTCATAAAAAAAAGATTGTTTTGATTTTTTGCTTTGATAAGTCATGGTTAGTGGGTTCTTCACCTGGTTTAATAAACTTATTTCCTTGTTCCGCATGTTTGATCAAGCATGGAGTATTTCACATAATTTCCCATGAAATGTTAAGGGAAGTAAAGTTGGGTGTATTCATAATGACATGGGTGGATACATATAATGATATGGGTGGATACATAATTGTACTTATGAAAAGTTTTTGTTGTTGTTTTTTATTGCTATATTGCCACAAGTGACAGATCTGATTAGCCAAGTGACATACACAAATTTTTATAAATGCCTTGATATAACATAGAAATAGAGAATATTTATGAAGCATTTATATTATATTGTATGAAATTGATGTTTATGAAGGAAGTTGACACTGACAGGGGCAGGGAGGGGTGATGACAAAAAAGGGCAGAGTGGGAAGCACTGGGTAGGGCAGGAAAGGAGACCACTGGGGGAAGGACAGAGGGCAAAACGGGGGGTGGGGGGGCACTGTTATATCCTATATCCAGGGAGGCTAACAAGGCAAAGATGTGGTACACTTTAAAGTCCAGGGAGGGAAAGGAATAGGAGCAAGGAGGACTGCACTGTCAAGGGCAGGGAAAAAGCAGGGTGGATTAGATAAGGTTAAAGGACATAAGCGATATAAATACATTATTAAATGTTGTTCCTATTTTACAGGCGTGTGTCTGATGATGACCAGGAAAGTGATACAAGTATTGTAAAACGTCGAGAAGGAGTGTTCCAAAAGAAAAAATACCAGAAAGCTGGTCTCTACTCGGACTCCTACAAAGACGAAGAGTAAGTATTGTTGAACTGACACTTAAGACAAAACCATATCATGGCCAAAGCAATACAAAATAAACTTCGAGTATTTCACATGATATGTCTATGTAGCTATGCTTCAGGTCAAAAATTCTACATAGGTGCTGATTTGAACCGGAAATATGCATTAGGATCTTCTTTCAGTAGCATGTTTGCAGTTTAATTCATAAAGAACTTGTTTTAGTTTGATTGTGTAGGAAGGTACCAGCTTAGACACACTTTGGTACTAATGTTTCTTGCACCATAAAAAGCGACATGCCCTGATGGGATTTAAATCCAGGCTGCCAGCTATCCTTAAATTACTAGTCCAATGCATTAACCTGTAACTTGGATACACCACCAGCTAATACTAACTGAGCATTTTATATGATTTATACATGACTGTATATACTGCGTAAATATGGTAAAGAAATAATAATAGATTAGATATAAACTAGGCTAAAGGAAGGAATATTCAAAAATCTTCCGAATATTCAAATATGAAAATTCGATTCGAATATTCGTTTTAAGGTAGCTCGCTACTTTCCGACCGAAATTTGACAACATCTCAGATCTTGATGATTTTTGGTATACATAAATATAGATATGTAGGCTTTACTTCTGCAGCATTATTTTACATATAAACAGCGTTACTATGACGTCAAAGCGCCCTCTATCGGTGGCGGCGAAATTGCGTCTTTTTTATCAATAAACCGGTCTGTTCTTATTAATTTTCATCCGATTTCCTTCGTTTTAATTTTATAATGTTCAGTAAATGTATGTCTTTGAAATAATGTCTTTCTTAAACATTTGCTTAATACTCTGCGATTCTACGTCATTTTTCTCTACATTCTGACGTCCATTTATGATACAAATATCGCGCGATATCGCAATAAAGATTGTAAAATAACAAAAAATCAACACGGTGAATTTTGCTATAATTTTTTTAACATGTAGTGAAGTCATGAAAGAAAATATTTATGCAATAAAAATATAGGGTCAACGCGTAAGATATTTTGCTATTACTATTTGAATATAAAATAAAGGATGAGTAAAACGTAATGATTTTGGCGACGTCAAATATTTTTCTCAAGGAAATTGTCACGACTTTTCCGATGAATAGTATACTGACTGGAATTAAAATGTGTGAAAACCATCAACAACAATTGTATTTAGACATATTCCGTAAAATGTTCTTTTAAAAGTCCTGTCAGATGCCTGCATTTCGATGAACAACTTCAATTATATACATGTACAACAAATCAGGGTATGACTGTCTGCAAAAGTTTGTATCAATCTCTAAAAAACTGAAACGAATGGTTATAAATACCTCGAGGACTGAGGACTGAAAGACAATTCAGAATATTAAAAGATATAATTAAAAGGCCACCTAAGTGGAAATAATACAAACATAAATTTTGCAAAGAATGTCAGAAAAAAAGAAGGAAAAGGCTGGTGCAGTCGCAGTGTCATCTCGGTACTACATAAACTTCCATGTTATCATACGTATGTAACATTTTCGAATTGTATATATCAGTTAGTAGGAAATGAATCAAATTTACGTTTTAAAAATGTATGATCAACTCGAAGTAACAACGATTTGTACGTAAGTCATGATTCACTGGTAGTCTTAATTATATAAATCTAGCAGACATTTATTTTAAAACTTTTCTACTCGTATAAAAATTTATTTGAGCCGCGTCACGACAAAACCAACATAGTGCGTTTGCGACCAGCATGGATCCAGACCAGCCTGCGCATCCGCGCAGTCTGATCAGGATCCATTATGTTCGCTATCAGTTTCTCTACTTATTAAAATGTTTAAAAGCGAACAGTATGTTGGTTTTGTCGTGACACGGCTCATTTATTAACAGCCATCAGGTATTCTATTTTCTCCCGCAGCTAAATACTAGTAAATAATATCCCTGCACTAAGCGCGAGACTCAGATTTAAAGGAGAAATCACGTTCTCATGCTATGGCTTGAATTTCTCACGCATTTCACATAATTACAGATATTCTTATTTAAAACTCGCTGACTCGCGGTATGCGTTTACTAGCGCATCTTTGAGGCGACCTGAATCTCGATTCGAGGCGAAAGATCCGTTGATTTATGTTGTATGTTCATAAGCTTATAATTTTGCATATTAAAATTAATACAGATTCCCTTTATTGAAGACGATCATGTAGGATCCTCAATTTGTGTGAATATGGTTTTTGGAGAAGCTCGTTTTTGTCTGCACATAATACAGTGCTACCTTGTATGTAGAGCCTATGAAAGAAATGAACTATGCATTTTATGTTTTATATCTTCTTATTTTTTTAATATTTGGTTTAACGCCGCTTTCAACAGTATTTCAATTATAGCGGAGGGAATTTAACAAAACCAGTGTTTCTCACAGTATCAACTTCTCTACGGAAATAAATGACAGGAGTCCGAGGTGGACCTTGAAACATTTCATACACAGTAAACAATTTTAAAGGATAATATTCGTACAATACGCAATCGTGTCTCGAATTCATGCCTTCCGAATTCAGCGTAAGACCACTTTACCGATTACACCGTGGCAACAGAAGAATATTCAAAGTTAAAAACCTGATTATGATCTCCCTTAATAAGGCAGAAGTCCACTTTATTGTTTACATCATAAACAAATGTTTTTGGTGTGTGTTTTCGTTTTTGTTTTTTTTTTCTTTTTTTTTTAAAGCAAACTGTATTGTATTAAAAAAAATGAACACGATAACGTCAACATAATACATAATTCGTATTCAGTGGTAACAAAAGTTGCACAAGTTATTTAATAATTATATTTTGTATTAAATTAAAATAAACAGGATAACATCTACAGAGAAATGCCCTTTGTTGCCTAGAGCGGTTGCTCTACAGAGGTAAAATGTAGTAGAGCCCTTTAGAAATAAATAATATTTTGAGGGCCGCTTTGTTATACTGTAATGAAAAAGCGGTAAGTATGTATACGTAAATCCGAGTTCCAAAAAGTTTTATAGTTTGTCATTTTCTAATTACGACATTTTAATTAGATTATAATTATATAATCTATGTATTGCACAAACTTAAAAATGGTAAGCAAAAATAAATGTTTTTGTTTCTTGTACAGTTTGTTTTTAAATATTCTTAACATACTTGAATATTATTTCTGAATTTAATTTATCACTTATTGCACATTTGTATGCATATCTATTTTAATTGCATTTTTACCATGTGTTTTGACACCCAGGCTCGTCTGATTGTATGTGATTTTATGAAAGTGTTTAAAAGCTGAATGTAACTTAAAATAAATATTCTAACGGGTATAAGCTACGCGATCTAATATTCTTACTTCATTCATACAGCAATATGTAAATCTTATTTTTTGCGCTGAAACTAGTTAATTCATATAATAATATAACACTTTTCACTCTTTCATTACAAACATCAAACTATAAAATAAAAATTGAAAGATGTTTGAGACTGCGTCCTGCAAATTAGAAACGTATTTACGATTAAACATTGTAAATTTGCTGATCTAGCGCATGCTTTCAATGAGAACATAATCAACAATTTACAAAATATACATTTCATCAAGTTCCTGTGTTGTTAATACTTACAATCGTAATGTTTGACGTAAGAAAATTGTTATTTGGTATTATTCTTTGAACTCCAACGTCTATTAACGCCACCAAAACCATTACGTTACATTCCCTTTATTTTATTTTAAAACAGTAATAGCAAAATATCTTACGCGTTGACCCTATATTTTTATTGCATAAATATTTTCCTTCACTTTCTCGCTACACGCTCGAAAAATTATAGCAAAGTTCACCGTGTTGAATTTTTTTTAATACACAATCTTTATTGCGATATCGCGCGGTATTTGCATCAGATATGGACGTCATAATGTAGAGAAAAATGACGTAGAATCGCAGACTATTAAGCAAATGTTAAAGAAAGATATCATTACAAAGACATACATTTACTGAACACTATAAAATTAAAACGAAGGAAATCGGATGAAAATTGATAAGAACAGATTGGTTTACTGAGAAAAAGACGCAATTTCGCCGCCACCGATAGAGGGCGCTTTGACGTCATAGTAACGCTGTTTATTTATAAAATATTACTGCAGAAGTAAAGCTCGCATATCTACATGTTTGCATACAAAAAATCATCAAGATCTGAGATGTTGTCAAATTTCGGTCGGAAAGTAGCGAGCTACCTTAAAAAGAATCTTATCTACACAGGGCCTTCTTTTAAAAAACCATTCACAGACCTTGATATTCGTATGCTAATCATGCAAAATCATATGGTTACTGCAGGCATGCTTATTGCATGTCATTAATTGTCCAAAAAACAAGGAAATGATCACATTTATATGGCAGGGGACATCATTATGGATTGATAGTTTGTAACGGTTGTAAATGATAATGTTGTTTCATCTTTTGTTCTTTAATTGTTATCCATAACAGCTTTTAAAATTGTTTCACGATTTGTAGAGATTTACGCTGTGTTTATGTTTCTAATTCCAGACATTGAAACAACTAATTCATGACTGAATTACTTTGAATTATTTAGAATTACTCAAATAATATTCCTTATCAGATAAGTTTGTATATATAAAGATAAGATAAAGATAAGATATAAAAAAACATACTATACATTAATTATCATGTCTCACTCGCGCATTTTATATTTTGCACATACAAAAGTGCTTTATTATCCAATCAATCTGGATAGATTGAAATAAAATGCAAATCATTTTCCTTATTTAGAATAAAAAAATATACTATAGAAATAAATAGTTATTTAATTTTGCATCACTTTCAGATACAGGATTAGATTTACACTGGTAAAAACTCAATGTTTACGACAGTCTTACAAGTATGTTTAAGATAAAAATATGACACATCTACTTATATACATAATTATTATGTAAATAAAATCATTGATGCTGATTATTAATACATCTTTTGGTTTCCCATATCATTTAATCAAATTAAACAC